TAAGTTCCATCATTTAAATATTATAGGTGTGTTAACTCTGTAAAATATTCTAAAAGAGTCCAGTAGCCCATAATAGTATTGGGTCTTCCACTTCACTGGCAATGTCAGAGATTGTTGACCTGAGTCCCCTGCAGCTCAACATAACAGCATGGCTTTACTTCTTATACTTCGTTTTTATACAGCTCACTCTTAAACAGCTCCTGCCCCTAAGCATATTGCCAAATATCTATAGGCAGAGGAAGTGAATAAAAGTCAGGTAGATTTCCACCAGGGCAGGAAAAGTTACTTCAAAATGAATGTGGCCAGGAAAAATAATGACAGTGGTGGTGGCACCCTTGCATTGCAGTACTTACTGCACCACATGTCCAGCTTCACCCAGCAGGACATGCCCACACTTTGATAGCAGACCTCCAAGGAGCATGGGTGACCCTTCCTGAGAAACTCCAGTTTCTGTCCTCTTATCTCTCCCCTCTTATCTCCCCCCCCCTTTTCCTATTTAAGGTTTTGATATCTGTATTTGTTCCTCTTGAGAGAGTACTTCTTGATTTCTGATAGGCAGGCAGTGGCTACAGGAAGGCCTTTTCTTCTTTTTTTTGCAGAGGAGTATTGCCTTGTGGCCTGGGGGGAGCAGTCTTCTTCCCTGCACAGGGGCCAGGAAACCCTTGTGGGATATGGGAAGCAAAGAGAGTACTGCCTGCCAGATCTTCAAACTTATATATAAATACCATGGTCCTGCTCTGGTTAATAAAGGATCCTTTGGGGGGAAAATTACCAAAGAGAAGAGTCCATCACTGACTCCACGAGCAGATCAGAGAGAACCAACCTGATTTTAACTGAGGTTCTGTGGCAATCAACAGACAACACCCTCCTTAGCTAGCTCCTGGAGCCCTGGAGCCCTCAACAACAATGTTCAGTGTAAAAACTGAACATGGACATCCCATATCCTCCTGCCTACTTTTGTGGTTGAAACACTATCTTTTTTTGGCATTTTATGTTATAAGGAAGAAAAATGTCCTGCCACAAAGTGAGTGACAGTCCCATGAGTCATTTACTTGGCTCTTCTGAAAGGTATAATGGCTCAGGGTCATTGCATAATCTTCAAAAAGGTCCCAAGAACAAAGTGAACTTTCCTCTCCTCTGTAAACACGTCTTTCTGGACCCTTGCACACCCTGCTCCACCCTAAGGCCTGAGGGATTAGCCTGTGCCCCCAGGAACAGTTAAGAGGGTGATCACTGAGGCATTGAGGTAAATGTGGCCTTCAAAGGACTGCTGGGGACTCAGGGAACTCTTAGAAAATAAGTGATAACAATCTTTAAAAATGGCATATCCTTCCATCATCACTTTTCTTCTCCTTTTCTGAATTTTTGAAACTTGCCACATGAGAAGCTAAGTTTGGTAGTGAAGGCTCTCTTAGAATCCCTCCTACTTATGATTTAGAAAGAGCACAACTTCCCAAGTATCTAACTAACACATCTCTATTTTCAAAACTAATTACTCCTTACACAAGCTTTCTAGTACATGTTGTATTCTGTCTGTTCACCTGCTGGGTCATTTTTGCTTGCTCTGCTTAGATAGGTTAAATCATTGCCTTTCTGGGTGTTGTCTTAAAGCCTGACTGGCAGGGCCTGCAACGATTGTTTAAAATGAATTGAAGCAACATCTTGGCTTAGATGGTATCAGCGGTGCCCTTTCCAGCTGTCCCTCCTCCTTTTCCTCCTCTACACACTTCCTCTACCTTGTGACGTTTTTTTTTTTTTTTTTTTTTTTTTTTTT